GAGAGAGAGAGAGAGAGAGAGAGAGAGAGAGAGAGAGAGAGAGAGAGAGAGAGAGAGAGAGAGGACACGGAGGGCAGGGAGGGTGGCGCACAGACAAGGCAAAAAGCATATGAAAAGGGGATTTCCGTAGGGCAAAACTGAGGTTACCTCAGCTATTCCAGCGAGTGCTGCCACTGTAAGCAGGATAGGATCCAAACCATTCAGAACACCACCAACTATGACCGCTTGCAAAACTGCAGCCGCCAGTTGAAAGGATTTACTGCTAGAAAACCTCTGTCCATGTCCAAAAACAAGTAATTAAGAATTATTAGTGATTAACACCAACATTGGTCCAGATGTCGTCCTCATTTCATTCAACAACAGCTGTCCAAAGGGCCCACAAGACAGTCCAGTGGCAACCTGGAGGAGGCTTTGGCCATTTCTCTTGATTCTATTTTGGCAGCCGGCAGTAAGAGAACCAGTGGACACTTCCAAACGATAGAAAAATAAAATACAAAAACCATGGCCACTCGTCTCAACCATCAGATTGCTGATCCTGTGACAAGAGCCTGTCACATGACCGTTCATCAAAAATCAAAATCTTTAATCTTACCATTCTAAGCGGCTTACGAGATGGTGGCTCGTCCGTGATAAGCCTTGCCAGAAGGGGGACTGGGGATGGAATGACAGTTTGGTCGCCGAGGGGGAATTGGGTGTTCTTGCTTGCAATAGTCATTTCTCTTGATGCTCCCCTTTTTAATTAGTCTTCAATTTTTCAATGGACCGGAGCTTACTTGTTTTCAGCCGAAGCCCGGCAATTGCGCTCCTGGTATCTCATTTGTTCTGTACAAAATACCACAAATTTCATAAGGGACGCTGGGTGCAGTTCCCAGCACGTGTTGCTTGTGACAAATAGATTAGAGCAGGTCGTCCAAAAAAAAGAGAAGAAAAAAAAAAAAAAACATACCAGCTGTGCTAGCCTGCTTGATGCCTCTGATCGGTATTAGTAGGGTCTTTGGACAACAGTGGGTTGGGTGTGGCATGTGGGAGAGTGTTGGCCTTAGACACTGCTGCTACTCGATGGGAGGTGGCGGACGACGAAAACAGAGGTGCAGCTACTCACAAAAAGTTTGGTCTTTGCAGTAGCCCGACCCCCACTGGCGGCCCCAACCCTGCACCCTTAACCACTAGGGCAAGGGGCAACATGCAATATTCCCTTCACTGTGAGATGGAGCTATGCTTGCAGGCTCCCCTCTATATAGCCTTGCGAGTAGGTAGGTAGTGAAAGGCGAAAGAATTTGAGAGAAGAATATAGTGTAATTTTATGAAAGAAAAAACAGAAAAAGAAAAAGAAGAAGAATCTTCCCATTGTCGCTGAAATGCAAACCAGCAAACCACTCAGGTCTGAGGGGGGGTGTTTTTTTTTTTTTTTTTTTAACCTTCAATGAAGTACACATACCTGGCTGTTGGAGTTGGTAATCCAACAATTGCCAAACAAAAGTTGTCTAGCAACCACCTCTTCCCATCACTCCAGTACTGGTAGGTCTGGGAGTGGCAGCTTCCTCCAGATTTTTAGAAGCCGGAGCCAGAGGTCGTCGTGTAGGGGTCTGGCCTGGCTTCGGGCATCCCTCGTGGGTTGCGAGGGAATCTCCAATAACGGTATTCCAGCCAGGTCAGCGGGTCATTTGTAGAGGGGCCCTCCGGGGCCAGACCAGCGATCTGTGCAAGAGCCAGTGGGTGCATGTGTGGCGGACATCGAAGATAAGGCACTTGAGCCATTGCAGGTTCAACGCTTGCACTTGTGTGAGGGGGTCTATGGAGTCCACCCTTATTCTTGGGTTGAACTACCGAGTTCCAGGCAACCCGACTAATGGCGTGTGTGGTCTCACTCTCCCCTCTACATAGGAAGGCAAGTGCCTAGGGCCCTGGTTCACTTAGTGGCCATAGGACTGATTTGTACCATAGGGTGGCCAGCACAGCACTATTGATGACCAGAGCCCTTCCAAAAAGTGAGGTGTGCTTGTTATTCCATTGGGACAGTTTCGAGAATACCGGGGTCCTAATCCATTCATTGTTGGTGGCCGGTTTGCCTTACGCCATCATGGATACACCCAGGATCCACACCGGAGCCTCCAATGGGAGCCACATAATCTTTGGTGCCTCCGGGGGGCGTCCCCCTTGATGGGGCAGCCACCACCCTAGTGTTTTCTGCCCCAAGCTGACCATCATGTCAAATAGTCTGCAAAAGCTGTCAACCATTATGTTGGCTGGCTTCTGCCATTATGTTCAGGTCATCAGCAAACAAGGAACATACTGGAATGTCGTCCTCTGGGATTTGTGGAAGCTTAATCTTTCGGAGGTCCTTGTTATGCCTGAAGTTGGTCGATAAGGCCTGAGGAACAGGAAAGGGGATATTGGGTCATCATGCCTGACCAAACGTTGAAGTCTGATTTGTGGTGGTGCCAAAGCGCCGCTGACCTGTACCTCGCTGGCAGCGGGGTTGTCAACCCCAGCGCGGGATACCCATCGGGGACTCAGGTGTTCAGGGATGGGACACCCAACCCCAGGAAAATCCCCCCCCCCCCCCCCCCACCATCCCGAAAAGAAAAGAAGAAAAAAAAAAACGCAAAAAAGGAAAAGGGGGGGTGCGCAACGAACACACCTTCCTAGCGGGAAAACAAAAACAAAACAGTTTTTTTGGGATCCCTCAGGAGTTCCCCGGGGATGGGGAGCTGGGGGGCTGGGTACAGGTAGGGTCGTGCGGGGACAGGTTGCCGGACCCGGGACCAGGGAACTTCTTTCTTGATGTCTTGTTTTCATATTGTTGATGAGGTTCAGGATGCAAGGGTGTGGTCGCAGGGTCGGGTGGCGGGGCGAGGTTGAGGGACCAGGGTGGTGCGGTTTGGGGCGGGCAGGGCCGGGGTGGTGTGTTTGTGAGTGTGTGGAGGCGGGGGTGGAGGCAGATCTTGCATCCGGGAGGACCACTGTGGCAGGAGTTGCACCAGGGCAGACCACGCCCTTTCTTCTCTAGACGTGTTTGGTCGGTCAGCCAAGCATTCAGGCAGTGGTTCTCGGTCGCTTTTTTTTTTTTTTTTTTTTACTTGAGATTTCAACGAGTCCTTTGATGATACTTTTGAGGATATCGAAGCCATTACCCTGCTTCATTACTTGAGATTTCAACGAGTCCTTTGATGATACTTTTGAGGATATCGAAGCCATTACCCTGCTTCATTTGAGAAATATTTCAAAATTCATGAACCACTCCTCACCTTACTTCTGCCAAACCCTACAATCCAAGTGACACTATCACCTCTCTGAAACCAAACTCAGCTGTCTTGTTCTCACTATCAAGTCTCTTCCTGGCATCATGCCCCCAACACGCTAGGCAGCACGACCCACCCCAGCTCCGACCGTCGTTGTCCTTGCAGCGGCCCACGGTTAACCACTGGATTGCCTTCCACCCTCGACAATCCCCGGATCTCTCTACCAGGTCTCAAGCTCCTGGGTCAACAGGTTAGAGGGCAAATGCCCCACCACCAACCAGCGTCGTTCTGGCATCGGCTAACCTAGAACAGGAAAGATCTCAGCTTCCTTTGACATCAGATGAGCCTCTAACACCACTGAAAATCTGAATCCAGCGTCTGTAAAAGTTCGAATTAGTTCATGATTACTGATGACTGCTGATGATTAGTAATACCTATGGAATCCATCAACCCCACATCAACCGAGCACCCACATTCCAAGTGGAAGTAAGGGCCTAACCAAAATCACACATGGCTACACTGATCATACTACCAGGCCTACCCGGCCTCACGCCCCCAGCATGCTAGGCTACAGGGCACCACGACCTACCCCAGCTCAAACCTTCGTTGTCCTGATAGTCACCCTCGGTTAACTACTGGATTGCCTTCCGCCCTCGATGAATCTCCAGGTCTCTCTACCAGGCCTCATGCTCCTGTGAAAGCAGGTTAGAGTGCTACACCCCAGCACCTACCAGCGTCGTTCTGCATCAGCCAACCAAAAACAGCAATCACTGCAGCTAAGAGTGACGACGTCGAATAAGCAAGTCGAATGCCACAGGAATCTTGTCCTCAGTTTCTGTGGAAGTTCGAAGCTGCCAATGTTTCTAGATGATCAATGAAACCAATAGAGAACATTCCCCCCTCTCTCCCTTTCACCCTGTCCCTCAGCTGCCTCCGCCAAAAAGGACCTACCTAATTACAGACACTCCTCCTTGGCCCCAGCTTGGGACAGTACCCCTCCCCCCCCTGCTCCAACAAAGGCATCCAGTTCCCACCCAAAGTATGCCTCTGCCAAACCCCTTGCCCTTATCTCCCACTAACGGGGAAATGCAGACCTATACATCTCCCCCAACCCCAGAACAGAGCAACCCTCAAAATATGCTCCCACCCCCTCCAGGACATTCAACCCCCACCTTGTGAAGCCCCTGCAGAGAAGAGCTCTCCCCCAGCCAACCCACCAAACTGCGAGAAATAATTGAACTGACACACAAACCAGAATTTAGCAATGGAGTACTAAGTAGTGTTCGCGGAATTAAGAATCAGATTTGTAGAAATTACAAATTAGAAAGCCGAAGACCTAAAATTTTGGAATATAAATTCCAAAAATTGAGAGATTCAAGGAAAGAATAAATTGAGGTCAAATGAGTTTACCCTTAGTGATGCCTTAGTTAAGAAAATTAAGGAGATGAAGATTGCTGAAATAAACTGAGTTCACAATGTCATCCGGCACGAGTCAAAGGCAGGGTCGTAGCTTTTGCTCAAAGGCCAGAATGCTCAGTCAAAAGTCGCATCCTGAGGTCTTAAGATGTCTGAGACAGTCCCTGGAGCCAAGGGTCCCTGGAGCCGAGGGGTAGCAATCAGTCGACGGCTGAAGGCTGAAAGATGCCCCAAGTCAAAAACAGTGTCCAGTACCTGGGCCGTTGACTCAAGGAGGCTGGAGGTTGGTCACCGTGAGCCAACACTATATAGAGTTGACCCAGCCACTGTGGAGATCATTCTGCGTTGCCTTGGCATGCGGCCAAGCTGCTGTGCGTGAGGCTACGCCGCTACGGCGAGAGACTGCTGGCGCCAGGCTATGAGGAAGGGCGCCAGCCAGGGTGTTGTGAGGAGTAAGAGACTGGGAGGCCATAGCTGCCATTGTAGACGTTTCTGGTGTACCGCGAGGTGTTGAAGAGATCAGGCTGTGCGACTGGAAGAGGTGATCGTGGAAAGGATTCTAACCTTGGACTACCCGCTGCTGGTGTGGTCACACTGTGGCTGTTCTTGTCGTTA